CTACTTACGTCTGAATCCCTCTTGCTTCTATTCCTATGCCTCAGTATACATTGGCAGGAGAAGGTATCTCAGGCCTGGTGGGGAAGGAAAGTATGTTCCTGGCCACTAATTTTTAGCAAGGCACTCTCTCCATTCCTCATGCTGGGGGTACTGGAGTCACCTAATGTCAGAAATGCTTCCATTTGATCTTGGAGTGAAATGAGCCTAACTGGGCTGTGTTCTATTGCTAGGCTGGAGGACAGACAACGCTGGGTCTTGGTTGTCCTCTTTTGGGTGTAGAACAGTAAGGTGTGTGCCCCTGCATTGATCCTCCAGGCCTGGGGTCTTAACCTTTTTGTAGATTTCCTATCACCTTTCAGAGTTTTTCTTTGTCTCTGCATTATGTCCAGAGTGTATAGCTGTGCTTAGCGAGGAAAGACAGGGAGAAATGAGTCCACACCATCTTGCCCAGACCAGAAGTCAACAGTGTCTTTTGATGATAAAAAGTTTCTAAAAGTTCAATAGAAGCCAATCCATTAATTTTTTTTATGGTTATTGCTTTTTGTGACCTGAAAAACTTTTGCTACCCTCAAGATGGTATCTGTTTATGTTTCACACCAAAAGCATTAGTTTTAGCTTTGACATTTAAATCTATAATCCACCATGTATTAATGTTTTGCACGTAGTGTGAGTGAGCTCAAGATCCTTTTTCCCCACGTATATCGAATCATTATAGCACTGTTTATTGAAAACATCTTCCTTTCCTCATCAGATTTCTTCGGTGCCTTTGTCAAAAGTCAAATGATTGTATCAGAGAGTTTACTTCTGGGAATTCAATTCTGTTTCATAGATGTACTTGTTGATCATATGCCAGTAATGCACTGTAATGATTATTTTAGTCTTATAATAAGTTTTATATGTCTTCCAACTTTGTTATTCTTTTACAAAATTGTTTCAGATATTTTAAGTCCTTTGCATGTGCATTTACATTTAGACCCGATAAACAGGAAGTGACAACTACTGTAAATGCCCTAGTAAGACATCTGCTTACCAGAGGCTGAGAGAAGCAGGAGGCCTGAGAGAAGAAATTGAAAATGCCTATTAAATTTCAGCTAAGGATAACACTCTGCTACTCTGGGACACTGTTCTACGAGATAAAGTCTATGTAACAATAACTGATATATGGCCCTGTGTTCCTGTAAAACATGAGGGTATGTGAACCAAGCCTTGGAAGTAGAGTTAGCTGTTATTACCATCACTCCTAGAAACCTACTTGTGGAATTAATACCTCCCATCATCACAAACTTAAGTTCTGCTACATTAAAGGCTTTGTTTCCTGGGGTAGAACACTTTCAAGAGGGGACACAGTAAAACTTCCACTGAAGACCTTTATAATTATCACCCAGTAATACTGAGCTATTTGCACTGGTACACACACAAATGAACAAGTTACCATATAAGAGGGAGCAATTAATCATGATTAAGTTTGCTGTTATATAATGAAAGCAGAGTGAGGTTATGTCTGAAACTTGAGAGTTTCTGAAAACAGTGAAGACACATTGAAGCAGTTATGACCAGATAACTAAGGGCTCAAGAAGGGGATGGTTCACCTGAACAGGTGAGCAAGCTCGACCCTCTGAAGTGTTGGTCAAGAGTGACTAAAATCTAGAATGTGAATGCATAAATATTTCCTATTAAAATCCTTTTGTTGAAATACCTTCAGTAGTGTTTATACTCCCATATGAATTTTGACTAACAGAAATATGGACAAGGTATGATGAAGACAGGTTATGATGAAAAGACAGAAAAGGTTATGATAAAAAGGCAGAAAAGGAACAGGTGTAGAAGGCGAATGGGAGTTTGAATGGGAGTTCATAGCAGCATTCCTACAGTAGAGAAAAAGTGACCAAAGGCCTAGAAGCAAAAAATAATATGGTGCATCTGGCAGTTAAGTATTGCTGCAGCAGAAAGAATGGTTAAGGAGTGGCAGAGATATCCAAGCACTAGGATACTGATAGCCATGTGCGTTGTGCAGAGCACTCTGGACATGAGCCTGGAGCAATGGGAAGTCACTAAGGTCTTTTTATCAGGACAGTGATCATATGTGAGGTTTACGTGGATCCTTGTGGCACTTGTAGGTGGACAAAAGAGCCTGTAAAGAAAGTATCTAAGATGTGGGAAAGCTGGTAGATATTAGAAGCTCTATGCTATACATGAAGTCATCAACAGAGATCAAAAGATTTGTTTAAAAATTCATCAAAACAGACCAAGCAGCATGCTGTACATTAGATCCCAAGTACTTACTCATCTTAAATATTCTCACCACACACACAAAGTAGTAATTCTGTGAGGTGAGGAATATGTCAATTAACCTTATTATGGCAATCATTTCAAAATATACACGTTTCAAATCATCACATTGTACATGTTAAACGCACACAGTGTTACATGTCATGTGTACCGCAATAAAGCTGGAGAAAAAAATAGACCAAGCACCTAGACACATAATTTGGGGAATTTCTGATGTCAGAAATCTAGTTCAAATATCTGGGACACAAGCATGCTCAATCAGCAATGAGAATGAAACTTGAAACGTCACTGAAGACACTTGGAGCCAATGTATTTTGCTGACCCTAAATCCATATCAGCATATGGATAATTCTGACTTAGTAAATGGAAGTTGGCACAGATGAAAAAAGTCTTGGAAGGATGGGACACACAGAAAAAATATGTACTATCCTACTAGCGGTTTTATTAATTTTCCCTTCTACTGACGAGTATGTGTGTTCTAAATATAAAATTTGGCTCCATGTGTAGCTGGAGCCCATTTATTTCCATCACCGCCAGGACATACCATCTATAAGATCTGCTAAAGAGACACCACACACTGTTGCTTTCTCTCCTTCTCATGGGCTATATGCCTATGAATATTCTATTCTTAATCACTGTGGCTGAGACTTTTCCCTAGAGATTTATGAAAGGATCTAAATTCTGTGTTTCATTCAAAGATAAAGGATCTTTCCATGCTTGCTTGTCTGTTAGTGAAGATGCATCTGCTTTGAGGCTTACCTGTCTTACTACCCTTTGTAGAACTTAGAAGCATTGCACAAGTAGTTAAAGTGTGTCCCATTAATCTAAGGTCTTGTAAGTGGAAGATACAGTTCTGCCCTTATCAGCATGATGCAGTAGGTAAGAACATAGAAATTAAAGTTACTCAGATATGGACTTGCCCTACTGTATATTAGTAGTTTGAACTTGGGAAAATTAGTTTCTTCACTTATAAAAGAGGGTTAATATGAAATTCATTAAAACCCTGGAAACTGGAAGTGCAATTACTAGAAAGCTATTTATTTAGAAAACTCGGAATACAACTTTCTCACCTGAAGCGGCAGAGGATCATCGCTGTTTTTGAAGTCACAGTCAAAAACAATGGCAGCCAGCACTTTGTAAGATCCATAGTCATACTTAACATACTCCTCAAACTCAGATTCCGAAGAAAAGCCTTGAACTGCAGAGAGACAAAATTGTTCACTTAAGTAAAAACATCTGATAATTCCTTCTGAGAGAGAAGATATTACTTTATATGGACAAAAGCCTATCGAAATAGTGTAAACTTAAGGCCACAGTTTCTCAAATATTGGTATCACAATTACTTACTAGATATTTGGGGTTCAAAACATTTTAGGTATTTTATAAAATTTTACTACAATTTTAAATAGTAATCATTAAAAAACACATATAGAGATAAATCACTAGTGATCAGGGAAATGCAAATTGAAATCACAATGAGACACCATTTCACATCCACTGAGATGACTATAATCAAAAAGACAGACAAGAAGAAGTGCTGGTGAAGATGCAGGAAAGTTGGAACCCTCATACACTGCTGACCAGAATGTAAAATGGTATAACAATTTTAGATAACAGTGTGGTAGTCCCAGAAAAAGTTAAAAAATAGAGTTACCACATGACCTATTCACTCTACTCTTAGGTATATACCCAAGAGAAATAAAAACATATGTCTACATAAAACCTACAGATGAATGTTCTTAGTAGTATCAGTTATCATAGCCAAAAGGTTGAAACAAGCCAAATGTTCACCAACTGATGAAGGATATGCCAACTGAATGCAGTGTATCCATACACTGGGATTTTATTTGACAATGAAAAAGAACAAAGTACTGGTAAATGCAACATCGTGGATGAACCCTGAAAACATTATACTAAGTAAAAGAAGCCGGTCACAAAAGACCACATAATGCATTTATATAAAACTGATATAAAATATCTCTGTAAACTATTTATATAAAATACTTACATGTAAACCATTTATATAAAAAGGTTTATAATAGGCAAATCTGTAGAAACAAAAAATAGCTTAGTGTTTTTCTAATCCTGGTAGGGATGGGTAATTGTGAGGTCATAACTAAAGATTACAGGATTTATATTTGGTGATCAAAATGCTTCAAAATTGACTGTGGTACAAACAATAAATGCTGAAGAGGATGTGGAGAAAAGGGAACCTTCCTACAGTCTTTGTGAGAATGT